CCTATTTAGAATGATTATTTATGATCTTGACTTATTTTGCTTCTAGAGTGTAAGGTCTATGATGGCAACAACTGTGGTTTATACATCCTATCTTCTACAGTGCCTAAGAAAAGAATCTTGCACATAGTAAATCTGCAATAAAAATGTGTTAAATGAGGGGCCAGCAAGTGGCATAGTGGTTAGGGTGCTAGACTCTTACATGGCTGATTGCAGTTTGATTCCCGGACCCAGCAACTTGAAAATTACACCAGGTGCATGTGTATGCATGCCCCAAATCCCAAAAGAATGGAGCAGAAGGGACTACAGCAAGGGTGCCCACCCTGAGAGGTAGTTTCTCACTTTCCCTCTCTCTGACTCTCTTTGTCTGTCAAGTACACGTACCCTATGGCAAAAACCTAAAAAAGAAAAAAATGTGTTCAATGAAACAATGTACAAGCTAGTTACATTCATTCTCAACATAAGTGAATGATAGAAATCAACTATTTTAAAAAAGTTATTCCTTAAAGATAGGAAGTTACTAACCTAGTGAATGACAGAAGCAGAAACTGTAAAGAAAAACAGACTGTAGAGGATGAAATCCTAACTCTGTACTGTAAGGTGAGATCTGTGTTAAACATGTGAATAGGCACATGCAGATAAGACTACCTTCTAACAGGACGTTACCTTGGCAACTGTTTGTTCAGCAATGGTGCTAGGTCGACGCTGGCGGCCATCAAGTCTCTGCTCCACAGGAAAACTGCTCCTATGTGATTTCAGGCGCTCCACCAGTAAGAAATAGATGGCAGCAAAGTGGTTATAGCTCTTGTTCTCTAAAGACTGAAAGAAAAAACCAAGTGCTAAAGGCACAGAACCATAGAAATCAATCTAATGACTATACTTTTCTTTAAAAAAGGGGAGGAAATCATGAGTTCTTAAAAACAGAGTGACAAAGGAAAAAGATAAAAGCTCAAGATAAAAGCTGTTCCGTGATTTAGACTGATGGCAGAAAATTTCAACCCTCTAGTATTCATTATATAAATGAGCAAGCCTTAATAAATGACTTGGGCAGCTCCTTTACATTAACAGGATCCATTAATTTTTCTCATATAGCATTCCCCAGTGCTGTCATGCAATTCCATCTTACAGCTGTTAACTATGGGCTGAGATCAGTTAGCAACCTGAACCTGGGGCTCTAATACCATAGCTCCCACACAAAGTCCAAACATTGAAAATTCTGAATTGAATGATTGAAGTTTTGGGAAACTTTCTGGAGATTATTTTGGGCTGCAGAATCTGGATGCTAGATTGAGAGACACTGTGTCTCCATTCTTAGGTAATTTTTTCCTCTTGTTTTTGTAGTCCCACCCTCTTGAAACCTTGAAAATAAAGTTGCTTACCAAGTTTTCACTTCTCTAGCCTGCCAACTTTCCCAGGATGCTAGTGGAACAGAGAAACAACTGCTCCCCTTTAGCTTCTAACCCCACCTGACAGTCTGCCTGGGTGCTGTGCATGGCACTGCAGATGGACGCAGAGCACTCACAGCAAAAATCCCAGGCCAGAGGAGTGCACTTGCAGCTGCAGCTTTGGATCTACTTCATGGGCAAGTCCAGAAAAAGCTCACTGAGCACATGATGAGCAATGTGGGAAAACCAGTGTGGTGTTAGTTATGGCTACACTGGGGTAAAGCCAGCACAGTCTGGAGCCTCAGTCTTTCACAGCAAACAAGGAGGTATTTGACATTCTTTCTTGCTTGATATACCTTCTCCTTACAAGCACTGTTTGTTTTTTACTGTTGTGGAAGAAATAAAAATATGTATATCCTATAAATACGCTATTAGAGGACAGAAATAAAAACCAAGAGGAATTTTCCAGGATCATGACCTTTTCAACTCTATGACCTCTAATACTTCCAAATCAGGAACCCACCTGTTTTTGCCTTCTTAGTTTCTGCAATTCACAGCCTAAATCCCACCAGCTTTCTTAAACCTGATACTTACCCCTCTGGTCCCATGCCTGGCATTTAGCCTTGTTCCATATCTGCGCACTCAGGCTCCATACAAACTAGTTAGATTTCTACATAGAACTTCATACTTACTCTTGGAAGAAACTTTCTATCTTGTATTTGTTAAGCCTCCACCTTTGCCTTTTCTGAATCAGCTACAAATCTTTCCTCTTAAATTTTTGGCAGATGGGGCAAGGCAGGAAAATTAGACATCGAATAAAAGCAAATATAAATAGAGTCTGATGTAATCAACGGGGAACATGAAAGAACATGGCTGGGTATGGGAAAGGGTGTGTGCTAAAAGACCAGGAGGACAGGTGTGAGCATGGATTTCAAGTTACTCAGTGAATCAGAATCCTAAAATATCTTTTGTCAAATCTTTTTACCTCAATGGTTTTCTGTTGATCTATTCCAAGGCTGTGCATCAACCGTAGAACCTGCTCATTAAATTCCCCGATGGATGGTTCGTTTTCTTGCTCTTGTGGATAGAGAACAGGTCTCTGTATAGGAACTTCTATGAGCATCCATTTATGCTCCTTGATTTGTGCTATGGTTAGCCGTTTGGATGGGTCTAGGACCAACATCCTTCGAATAAGGTGCTCACAATCTATAGAAAATACAATGTTACAAAAGCCACATAAGTCACCTTGCATTACAGGGTTATTTGCCTGACTCATGTGACTGTGTACAATGGTATTAATCTTTGTATCCTGGAAAGAAAAGGTCAAATGAATAACATAAAGCTTACTTATACTTGTCAAGGCCACAAGGTGAATGAGTAGTTAAGAAAAACAAGGAGGGTGTCAGTCTATCAGAGTCTGTGTTAAATGAACCTTTCTCCTGAATTTCTCAACTGAAAACATTCAGACATAGACTTAGACATTTTCTTTTCTTTTCTTTTTTTGAGAGGTTTTTGTTACAGAGCATGTGCGCTCGCTAGAAAGACACACACACAGAGACAGAGAGACAGAAAGTGAGAAATCAGCCTCCAGGGAGGATGGCCATGCTGCAATCCTTCTTCTACATTCTCCTCTTGGGATCTTGGGCATGCACACACATGTACTCGGCATGAGTGTAAGCCACTGGGCCTGGGACTTGAACTGCGGTTCACTACATGGGAGTCCAGCGACATAGCCATTACACCGACTGCTGGTCCCCATAGACTTAGACTTCTACTAAAGAAAAGTAAAAGCTTCATTTCTAGAATAAGCAAATAATGAATTGATCTTCAGTTATATCTAAGGCTTATACACTCAGGCTACATAAGAAGGCAATGAGCTCTTAAATGGGCTGTTGCTTTTCTCCCCCTCAGTGCAGCTGAGAAAAACAAACACGAAATGTTATTTACTTCTGATCACACTAAGAAAACGGCACTGCTGCAGCTTTGAGCCGTGGCCTGTTCTTGAGCTGACATCTTGTACTCCCCTCCCTCAACCACATAAGCTATCCTCACAACACTCACCATCTACCAGGGACTATGCTAAGTGCTTTGTACAGATTAATTTAATTAATCCTTACGACATCCTAGAGTAGGCACTACTGTGATCTCCATTTTATAACATGCAAACCGAAGAGGAGATGTAACTTGCCAAGGTCACATACCAGTAAATGGTGGAACCAGGAGTGGAACCAGGTAGTCTGGCCTCAAGGACCATGTTCTTAATGACCAAGAGCATTATTTCTACTGTTAGAAGGAATAAGAGTTAAGAATGATAGATAACTAAAAATAAAATGGAGGAGCAAATTTTACTGTGTATGTTAATGACCCAATAAAAGACAGGCAAGGATTACTCCATTTCATCTTAATTCAACAGTTTTGCCGGTTAGTTTTTTAACTTAAAGTTTTAATTTTTCAAACTCCACTTCATACTGAGAATAAAATAGTTGTGAATCTGTTATCTACAAGTGCTTTTCTACGTCTAAGATTTGGGCCATTCATACAAACAGAGTGAATGGGGAGACTTGCTCTTCATCTGGGAAATGTTCTGATTTCAGTTACCAGGACAAAGACTGGACCCTGTCTAACTTACATGGACAGAGTTTATTTCTATGATTTTAAAATCACTTCTGTCATTTTATTTCCCACCAAAACTCTTTGACAGAGGAAAGCTTTTGCCTAGCATTTCATTTAGAGCATAAATTCTGTAAAACACATGATTAAGAGGAATAGCGTTTTACCTTCTGACATAAAATATGGAATCCGGAATCTTCCTTCCAAAACTCTCTGCCTCAAAATTGGAAGAGTTGGTCCATCAAAAGGCAGCGCTCCACAGACAAGTACGTAAAGAACAACTCCCATGCTCTAGGGAAGAAAACATCATGGTAAATTTTCTACTGAGAGCTTCCAATACTCTGTTTTCCTAAACATCCCCAGGGCTCTTGAAATCATATGGACTACAAAATTCCTGTCTAAGTTTATTATTTTCTCAGAATCTGAAACAAATCTGAAACCCTAACTACTATATTAAGTATTCTCTACTGAAAGATCCAAATTTGATCATCATGATTGCTACTTAACTTTAAATTATTGCTGATATTAGGATAACATCTGTCCCTGTAGATTCTATCCTAGGAATCTATTTCAAGATGCTCTGACTAATTACAGTCCAGCAGATGAGGAGACCATGAAATACCGCATATGCGTTAAGTACCAGGAACTTCTAAGATGGGCCAGAGTACCAAGTATTATCATTATAGATGCATTTAACACAGCAAAGCAAAGCAATACCCAAATATCCAGCTGTGGTCCTTCATACTGCTGCCCTTCAAAGACTTCTGGGGCTGCATAAGGGGGGCTGCCACACCATGTTGCCAGCAGTTCACCACTTTTAAAGAAATTTCCAAAACCGAAATCTATTGGGATGGAAATAAATGTTACTTTCATCTATGCTCTCAAACTATACTGCATTTCTCTGTAATAAACTTTATAATATGCTATATTAACAATATCACTGCTATTGGCTGTGAGGACTGGGATATTTGTCTTGTGATTTCTTCCTAGCACTGAGCACCATGGCTAGCAAATAGTAAGTACATACCCAATGAATACTGAATGTGTAAGTGAACTGAGTTTTCAAGGAGGGTGAGTGAGAGAATGGAAAAGGACTTTAATCATGCAAATTTAAGGTGGACAACGAAGATGAATTTGATAATCTTAGAATTTCAATTACCTGATGATTGATAACTATCTTATATGGTCCATAAGGAAAGAAACAAATGAGTACAACTCTAAGATACTGACCTTCATACAACACTGGCTGCTCAGACAGCCACTACTAGATAACCTTTCCAGGCAACTGAGTACAATGTTTCCTAAGGAACAGCTCTGGGTGTTTGTGGAACCCATCTGAATAGCTCATTAACATATGATGGCTACAGGCCCAGTCACTGGCCACCTTCCCCACTTTCACTTACTCATTTATGGAATACAGTAACATTATGCTTCAAAACAGCTAGTGGCCTTCTTCCAGCAATCTTAGTCATACTGAATCTACAGCCTTGATACACAGAATGCAATCTGCAAAACAGAATGCTGTACTCAGATGCCTTCAGTATGTCCCCCCAAATATTCAGTGAGCTATGATATAAATGCAAGTCCATACCCTTTTGCTAAACCTTTGCATGGTCTTGTTTTCTAATGATACAAATTCCTATTACTCTGGAAGTTATATCCAGATTGTCCTATGATTGAAGAACATGGCCTCAGAGACAGGAAGCAGCTCTATAACCAGCTGCTGCACAGTCCTGCAGGCACAGTAAGCTTTAAGAGGTGCTCCAAGGGTGACTGACTCGAGCTTCGTCTACCAGACTGCCTTGTTTTGTGACTCTGGATCAATCTTTGTGGTCTTAGTGTTCCCCTCTATAAAGGTGAATAAAGATAGCTAGCCAGCAGGTTGCTGGGAAGGTCCAGTATGTTAACGTGAATGCACACTCTAGTCACAGCTCCAAACTGTGCACATATCTGTACTTTGGATAAAGCACTTCCTTAGACTGCTGACACCAGAACTGGGGGCAAGCTGAAGCAACACAGTAACAGTAACAGCACAGCCGATGAGCACAACCTGCCAGGTTAGGGAGAACTAGAGCTGATTTCGTTTTGCCACTTCTAGTTTCAAGTCCTCTAAGAAGTTATTTAATTTCCCTGATCCTTAGTTTCCATATCTATAAATGTGGGGATAATCTCTCTACCCAGATATTGTGAAAATTAAATGAAATTAAGGATGTACAATGCCTGAAGCATTGTAGATGTGAAATGTCAGCTCCTTTTTCTGTGAAACCATTATTACTAACTATACTGCCTTTTAGAGAAAAAGGTCCTGAGAAGATAAACAGGAGGGACAGAACAGTGTAGCAGGACCTTAAGGGTTTAGGAGAGAAAAGATGTGTATCTGTGGAAAGGCCTCAGATTCTGTCTGTGCTTGCTGGGACGACACTGGTCTGTCCTTGGCATCCAGGGGTAAGAGGCAAAGGGATGCCAACAAGAACCTTTCTACAACATGACCTCAGTTCAGTCCTATAATCCACTTTCCGAAATGACTGTTAAAAAGGCCTTATCTTCTCAATTCCACCTCTGTGACTAACCATTCCTACACCACCATAACCCATATGTACACATATAGATGGATGTTTCTAATTTTCCAGAAAAACCACACTCTCAAAGTCAAGGACTACATATCCAAATTGGATTTAAAGAGGATAATGTTAATTTCACTCATACAGAAAAGCACAAGAAACTCTGGAATGTGTGTTTGGAGATCCTGAAACAGGTACATTAATGGCTGCACTTTAAACCATAATCACAGGATGAGTTTTAGTCCATGGGAGTGGAGGATACTCTCCAAATAGCACTGTAAAGTTTTAATGTCGCCAAGAGCTCTTACAGAGCTACTTCCTTTTCAAATTCCCTCCACCCTGGTGAGATGAAC